CATCATCCAGGAATGGATGCAGGACGACCGGCTGACGGAGGAGCAGAGGGCCGTGCGCCAGCGGTCGATCCCGATCGCGCTGCTGTCGGCGCTGATGGAGGTCCTGCGGCGCTGATGTACTGCTGCCCGGCCGAGCGGGGGCGCAATGGCCGGTTCGGCAGCAGCCGCCGCGTCACCAGCGGCTCGTTTGGCCAGCGGCAGCAGCTCGCGGAGACCGACGAGCGGCGCGCGGAGGAGCGGCGCGCGGCACGCGCCGCGCAGCACGAGGCCGCGGAGGCGCGCGGCCACGTGACCCACGTCTTCGAGGCGCTCGTCCGCGCCGAGCCGTCCGCCGTCATCGCCGCGTGCGACACCGTGCGGGAGATGTTGGCCAACCCGGCCTCCGCCGTCGGCGGCTCGTCCACGCCTCCCTTGCGGCAGGACTGGGCGGCGTCGCTGCGGCTCGCGTCGTCGCCGGTGCGGCCATCGCCGCTGCGGGCGCCGGCGAACCAGTCGCCGAGGAGCGAGTCGTGGTGGAAAAGCCACGTCGACGGCAAGTCGCGGCAGGAGATCGCGAGGGTTGCCGCGGCGAAGCGCAAAAACGAGCTGACCTGGCGGGCGACAGTCCGCTCGATGACCCGAGGGCTGCTGCCGAAGAAGCGGGGGCGCAAGGCCAAGGACACGGTCTCGGCCGAGAGCGCGCAGAGGACGCGTTCCGTGGCGACCGTGGCGATCGGCAAGGCGCTCGAGGCGCTGGGCGCGCGCAACGGTGAGAAGGCGCGCGCGCTCAACTCTGCGCTGCTCAAGCTGCCGAATGCGGTGCGCGACCCGCTGCGCAATCTCGGCTACGTGCAGCAGGAGCGCTTCCTCGGCGTGCGCGACGCGTGCGACACGCTCGGCGCCGACCACTTCAACACGTTCAACGCGCTCGACTTGCGGACGGCGACCGGCACGAGCGTGCGCACGATGGTCAAGTACAACCACATGTGCGCGTACACCGAGGCGGCCGACGGCGGCAACCGTCGCGCGGTGCTGCTGCCGATCCCGAAGCCGCTCGCCTCGTCGAAGCGGATCGGGATCGACAAGCCGCTCGGCGTGCCGACGCCGTTCCCGAGCCACGGGGCGCTCGCCGCCGACGCCAGGCGTATCAACGATGCGCACGGCGTGATGGTGTCGGCCGACGGCCTCGGCTGCTCGCTCGATCCGCTCAAGGCCATCGGCCGCGCGTGGGAGGTGGCCGAGAATGCGAAGAACTTCCGGGCGCCGTCGGGCTGCGTGCCGATGCCACGGGCGCAGTTCCTCGGCGACGCCTTCGTCCACGCCAAGCGGATGGCGACGCGATTCGGCGTGCGGCTGCCTGACTTGCGCTTTAACCTCAACTCGCCGTACTTCTTCCGCAATATCGCTTTCTACCGCAAAATCGACCACTACGAGGAGCAGCAGACCTACCTCAGCCCCGTGGCGGACGCCGTCAACAAGCACGCGGTCCTCGAGATTTCCAGCGACGCGCGCATGACCGACGGCGGGCGGGCAGAGGTCGGCGTCCGGACAAAGGTGTGCCTTCCGTGCACGAACCCAGCGACGGGCGCCACCATGCAGTTTCTGGCCACGGAGGGCGGCGATGCTGCGTGGGGTAACGCCGCCGCCGGTCTGCGCAGCTGCGCGGTCGCGGGCGGCTCCTGCCGCTGCTGCGAGGCGCCCAAGGGCCCGGGCTGGTTCAACCCGATCGTGTACGAGAACGCGATCCGGCGCACCACCTGGCGGTCGCTGCTGCTCGCGCACATCGACCCGGTCGCGCACTTCGAGGCGATGGGCGTGGACGTGCCCGCGGAGGCGAAGCGGCAGGCGAGGGTGTGCCCGGGCTGCGACTTTCGGCTCGACAAGGCGAGCACCGACAAGGAGATGGCCGAGTACCAGAGCTGGTCTGCGACGGCGCAGCTCAGGTTTACTCGGTCCCACGAGAGCCCGGACGGCAACCACCACGGCGTCAAGTGGCGGCACGCCAAGCTCCTCGTCATGGACCACTGCTACCAGCACCTGACGCTGCTGCACCACGTCCTCAACTCCACCGCCGCGAACCTCTCGCTCACCCTCGCCGCCGGCGCGACCGGCAAGATGAAGGCCGCGTACAACCAGGTGCTCGAGGCGCGCAGCTTCTACTTTCGCTTCAAGCAGCCAAAGGTGAGCGGCAAGGACCAGAAGCCCAACGGGCCCGAGTGCCGCCGGCTCCTGTGGAACGTCGACGGCAAGGGCGACGCCGAGGAGGGCGAGTCGACGCTGCTGCAGCTGCTCAAGATCCGGTACGGCTACGGCGAGCACGGCTGGGGCTCCGCGGCGTCGAGCGTCGCGTCGGCGGCGGGCGAGCTCGCGTCCGTGCAAGCGGCAGGGCGGGAAGAGGAGCTCGGCCGGCCGCCCGGGGCGAGGCAGATGGCGAGCCGCGGCTCGAGCGGCGCCGGGCTCGGCCGCGCCGGGCGCGCGCGCGGTGCCGCGGCGGTAACCGGCATGGAGGCGCTGCTGGCGGCGCGGCGAGCGGAGGAAGCGGCACGGTCGGGAGCGGCGACGTCGGGCGCGCCGGCGCCCGCGCCCGCCGCCGCGCCGGCAGCCGCGCCGGCGGCGGGGGGCGCCAGGACGTCGCGCAAGCGGACGGTGGACAGCGTGAACGCCGATACGGAGGGCGGCGAGCCCGCAGACGAGGGCTGCGAGGAGGTGGACGACGCGGAGATGGACGAGGTGGAGGCCCTCCCCGCGCCGCCCGACGATGCTGAGGTGAACGACGTGCGCTCGGCGCTCAAGTGCTGGGAGCTGCTCGCCTCGCTGCAGCGCACGCTGCACACGCCGTGGGACGACCACGACATGGACGCGCGCGTGAAATACGGGACTGCCGCGCAGGAGATAGGCGGCAAGTGGGTCGACACGCTGCGCGCGCACGTCAACAAGAGGATCTTCTACTACTACCTCCACCTGACCAAGGCGCACCTGAAGGAGATCATCATCGCGACCGGCCACCCCTTCAACGGCGACGACTCCGTCAACGAGAAGGGCAATCAGCTCTCCAAGCGGCAGAAGACGACGATCTTCCACGGCGGCAGCGACGCGGCCGGCAAGCGCACCCAGTCCTACGTGCGGCGGCGGGCCATCAAGGACGCGACCGACGAGGAGACGGGCGAGGCGGCCATCATCGGCTACGGCGAGCGCACGTACCAGCGCGAGAACTTGCACGGCATTGCACACCAGTCGATGGGGCTGCAGCTCATCCGCGAGTCCATCGACGCCGAGCGGCTGAGGCGGCGCTCGGCCGCAAAGGGGCTGCGCGAGAAGGTCAAGACGGCGGCGGGGCGCGAGACGATGCGCATCAAGGCGGAGCTCAAGTACGCGAGCGCGGACCGAGCCGTCGAGGAGCTGCACGCCGCGTACGACGAGGCGGTTGCGGCTCGTGAAGGGGCGGTGGCGGCGGCGGGGACGGAGGGAGCGTGAGACGCGGCGCAGCAGCCGCGCTGCAGAGGTAGAGGCATGGTGGTGTAGGTGTACTTTAGTGTTCCTAGAGGCTCTAGGGTGACCCCAAGTGCCCCCCTATGTGTCCTGGACGGGTCCCCGTGCTTGCGGGCGTGTGCACAGGCGCGTGGGGGGCCGGAAATGAATTGATTGTTTTTTCAGGCACTTAGAGCACACAGTGCAGGGTTTGCCCTCCGAAACTGGCATGGGGAACCTTAAAATCCCTGTGTGGTGGCGGCGTGCCGTCCTCCCATCCCTCCCTTGGTTTGTGTGTTTTCTTTCTTTCTTTAGAAGGTCCGGAGGGTGGACATTCTGAGGCGTGTGGCGCCCCGCCACCGCAGAGAGAGGGTGCTCCAACCTCCCGGCTTTTCTTCTTTTTTTGCTTTGAGGCTCGATGAAAGATCCAAGCATCCACAACCCCGGGTTGATATGACTCGTCGATCCACCTCCCGGGCTCTGGACAAACGGCCCAGCTCCGCGTCCCATTTGCCCTGGCGAGTACAGACCACGCCTCCACGCCTGCTATTCACATAAACGCACAACCCCGGGCCCCGATCTGCTATTCACAGCACAAGCTTTTTGCCTGGCGGCACTTGGAGCACTTGGAGTGCAGTTAGTAACCTCACATCCAGGGCCGGCTTCAGCATGTCCTTTTTCCAGACGGATCCCCCCCCTGTGAAAAGTGAGGCGTGGTCTGTACTCGCCAGCCATTTGCCACTTTTGAAAAAGAAAGATCAACGATCACGGCGGCGTCGCCTGCCCGAGCTCGCAGCTACCTGCTACGTGCATAGAGAGGAGCGGTGCTCTCGCTTGCTTTTTTTAACTGATCCTGCGGGAATCGGGATAGGCGGCCGACCGTTTTTCTTTTACCTGTGCTAGTACTAGCCTGCGCGCCTTCGAGCCGCTCCCGTGCCCAGTGTAAAAGAAAGACAGACTTGAGGCTGCCTCCGCCGCTGCCCACACCGCCGCGGCCGCGCTTGGGCGGCGGCGGCTTGGGACGGACACGCGGCACGGCCGCGCCGCGCGGGCGGAGGCGAGCCGCCGTCCTCCGGAGCGGCTCGCCTCGAGAATGTGCGGAGCTTGGACATGTGGAGATTTTGAGGCGTGGCGCCCCGCCACCGAAAACCAACGGCTCGTCTTCTACCTGAAAAAGAAACACGCGCCAAACCCGGCGTGCCCCCGGGCTTGAGTGTCGGCCGCTTGGTGTCGGCCCGAAGGCGAGCTCGGCTGCGGGCACAGGCTTGGAGAGAATGCTAGTCTGGATTTGTTGTGCAGCCCTACTGGTGCAGATTGCGGCCACAAGCGCTGCTTGCGAGGACGATTCACGGCCGTCGCCCTACCCCAACAAGTTGCGGCACAGAGAGTGCTTCGACCATTCCGGCTCACCGAGTGGTGTCTTCGTGTCTGACACCACCCGAGCTTCTCTCATCCAGAATTTTGGATTTGAGGACGATTCAACGCGGCTCGAACTGTTTGACCGGCCTCCGATCCTCAGGAACTGCTCCTCCGCGTGGGTGCCACCCGCGTGCTTTGTGGAGCAGCAAAGCGACGGCGAACCCGCCCTCCGAGTCAATATCGAGAAGAATTTCGTCGACCTCGTCCCGTGCCACAATGGCTTCGTCGGTCCAGATCCCACCGATTACGACTACTCTCCGACCGATCCGGAGAATGACCTCACCCCGAACCAGCTCCTCTCTATCTGCGCTGCCGTCTGCGCCCTCGTGCAGGCGCAAGAGAAGATTGCCCGCAATGAGTTCGCCGCACGCGCGACCGCCGCCTTACGCCCCGCGGCGCGCGGCAGGACTGCGCGGGAGTCATGCTGCACAAGCCGGGCGAGAAGGACGAGTGCTTCCTGCACGGCAGCTTGCCCGACGACACATCTCCTCCCTGGGCCCTCTGCGCCGAGTGGCCTCTCCAGCTCGGGGGCGAGTGCGGCGCAGGGAGGAAGGGCGGGGCAGATTTGGGCGCATTCCTCTGCCCTGCGGAGCCGCGCGACCCGAACAAGTACCTCGCGCCGGCTGGCGCCGCCTTGGACCCTCCCCGCCTGGCGCCCGCAGAGTCGCTGCCTGCGCCCGAATGGCAGCCCTGTGCCCGCAGTGCTTGTCCTGGGGGAGAGGGCCGTCCGCGAGGCTGCCCGTGGGTGGATAGGCGGCTCGCCTTTGGCTTCACGCTCACGCCGGACGGCTCTGCGAGCTGCGAGGCCAGCATCTCCTCCGCCAGAGCGGCGGTGGAGATGGCTCTGCGCGGTGCGCTGACAGGGGCTGGATTGGGCGAGGGCGGTTTGATCTCGCTCCCGCCGCCCCTCGCGCGCGCGCCAGACCAGGAGGGTTGGGCTGGCTAGGCGAAGAGCTGCTGCAGAAGGTGACGGTCGAGTGCCCTGCGGGGGGCGGCTCGAGCCTCACGGCGAGATGCAGCCGAGACGCAGCCGAGATGCAGCCGAGATGCAGCCGAGATGCAGCCGAGATACATCCAGTCAGAGCATGTGCCGGCGTGCTGGGGAGCGGTCTAGCCGAAACGGCGAGCGATTTTCCCGCCGATGCCCCCCCCCCCCCCCCCCCCTTTCCCCGACGGCAGGCGGGCGACTCGTACGTGGCTTGGGTCCGGGTCGCCGACGGCGGGCAGGACGCCATCACGGCCGTCGTGGGCGCCTCGAGGTGCGGAGGCGCCACACCTCCCCATGTCTCCCCGCATCTCCCCACATCTCCCCACATCTCCCCGCATCTCCAGGTGCGGAGGCGCGGGCGAGACACCGTGCGCCGCTGCACAGAGCGGGCTGCTGACGCAGCTGAAGGCCCTCGTTGACGCTCGCCCGCCACGGACGGGAGTCGGCCCCCCGCCGGCGCGAGTCGAGGCGGTGACGGCGACGACGTGGGAGGCGGAGCGGTACCGCGAGGGACGGGCCCACGCCGACTTCAAGGCGTGCATCGGTGCGGACAACGTGTCGCTCGCCGGCTTGCCCATCTCTCCCGTGGCGATGGCGGCGGTGTGGGGCGACAATGTCGAGTTCAAGCCCGAGGACCACGCCGGACTCATCCCGTTCTTCGAGTCGATGGCGGACCCGGAGCACGACTTCTTCCCGATCCCGCCCGGCTGCTTCCGCGACACGGCGGACAACGGACTCCCGAACAACCCCGCCCTCGTCCAGGGCGGGAAGCACTACGAGCTGGCGAACCCTCCCCCCCCTCC